CTCTAACAGGCAAACCTTAGAGTAGCTCTCTGTGGGAGCTGTGCCCCTGTGGCATGCAGGACAGGTGGTGCTCACTCAGTGGGAGTCATTCAGCATTTTTTTGGCCTATCTTTATCATGTGTATGGCCCTGTTCATTTTGTACTGTAAATTACTGAAATTGCACCCCAAACACTAAATAATTTCCGTGCAGGTTTTCTCAAGGCTCTGCTATCATAACGTCTTAGTTCTTTGCAAGTGTTAATGAACGTCACAGAGTTTCTGTAATAGTTTGTCCCATTTTGAACATAGGAAGTGAAATACAAAGATTAAAGACAATTTATGTGACTGGAAAGATGGGTAAGCTTTCAGGCATATGAACATTGGCTGTTCTTTCTGCCTCTAACAGGCAATGTAATAAAAAGAAATTACCTCTCCATACAAATGCAGCTTCAGTTGCAGCCTTAGACAACAGCGGCAACAGTAATGATGCTGTAACGAAGATTAAAGTTAGAAATTATAAACTGTTGACTGATTTTGGCTGTTTGGCTTGAGAAATCTGGAATCCAATCTTTTGTTGAAGTGTTTTTTTAGGACATTGTATTTTCCAAGCATATATTTCTCTGGTCTCATTTGCAGCTGTGACTGCTTGACTCTTCTGCAGATCTGAATACAGATGTCCTGGGGTTGGGTACCTGGGACATGAGAGCAGTCTAGCTTGGCTGTAAGATTGCAATTTATGTGTCTGCCGTATATCACGTTAGATTTAAAATGCCATTTATCAAGGATGGCTTCATTTTCCTTAAATATGATCCCCGCTTTCTCTTCTTTCTCTTTCTTACCTCCTTTATTTTACATCTTCTAACTCCTCCAGTAGTGGAATTAGGGGTATTATAGTCTCAGTATCAGTGGAGAGTTTGCTTTGTCCTATAACACGGCTATCCTCAGCACCAGGACAGGATGTCTGCACTGCTGTAAAGCTGATGGTTTGGAGATGATCAATGAGAAAATGATGTGCCCATGAGAAATGGACAATTCATAGCAAAACCAATGATCAAAAACTCCCCTAAATTCTCACTATCCTTTTATTATAGATAAACAACAGTTTTTCTTTGTCCCTGCAACCTTCAAATCCCCAGACCCAGCTGTGTCTGGCTGGGTTCTTCCAAGATAGCCAAGTGAACCCCTTCTTGTCAGTGGAAACCACATAAGGGTGCAGGTTCATCCCAAATTATTGCAAAGTCTGTTCTTCTGTTTTACAAGGCACAAGTGACAATTCTTTCAAAGCAAGCAAGGAAATTAGTCTGTCTTGTTTCTCTTCTTTACCTGACTGTGTTGGTCCCAGAAGCTTTCAGTAGCATTGAAAATTATGGCCTGAGAGATTCCATGTAACACTTGAAGGTATAATTGTGTTCAGCTCGATTGATCCTGCATGCCAATTAGTAGTGCAGCCAGTTTGCAAGATAACAGAGATCTTTGTGAATGCCTGTAAGAATTTGTCTTCTCTCCCACTTTCACATGTGGTGGCAGTCAGTTGAAGGTTCCTATTTTGCAGTGATCTGTTGAGCAACTGTCACAAGCAAATGCTCACGTTTAGCCGCATTCCTCAGGGACCAATTTGCCAGAACTTGCCAATACATTTTGATTTCCCTGCTGATCAAGGAGGAATGGAGGAGAGAAGAGGCAGCCCAACCCAGAGCAACATCTGCTGCAGAGTAAATTACATCCCCACTTGGCCTCCCAGTCTGAGCTGTTTATCCTGTGTTAGGTTAAGCCATGTCATTTTTGCCTTTTGTGCTGATCATGCTGCATAGAAACTAAAAGTAAATCAAGAGACCAGACTTATCATTTCTTTCTCAGGTTTGGTACTGGATTTGAACATTTTCAGTTCTGGACTGTGGTCAGAAGCAGAGCACGTGAGGTTCTCAAGGAGTTGTTTGTTTCTCCTTTCAATTTAGAGCCCGAAATACCATTTGTTTAATGTTGCTGTTTAAATAATGATTTGTAAGGCTCTAAGCCAGCCATGGTACAGCTTAATGACTACTGTAATTTATGGATGCCCCTGACTACATACATAAACATTGCTGTAAATATAAAGGATGTCTCCCACAAATTTTCCTATGATACTCATTTGATACAGTTCATTTTCCTCTCCTTGAACATCTTCTGTATATGAGTTGAGAATGAAGGTCCTTCTGGCTCCACTGGCCAGAAGTGATGGGGGCAGGGAAATGAAAAATCAGATCAAATGTCTGTTACAAAATATTTTAATTGAAAATCAAGTTTCCTTGAACTTGGACACAGACACCTCTATACTGTGGCCTAGTAAAAGGATCACTTGTATTTGGGCTTTTTTTGATCAGCTGTTTCTCTTACGACTTAATCTTCAGTTCATTTTGCTTTTTGTGTACTTTGTAAGGAAGTAAATGGGAGACAGAAAAATATCATGCACTGTCACAGAGCCCAGCCATTCCTTCAGCTGCAGCTTTGCTATTTGTGATCTCTAAGCTACACCAGGAGCATGTATATGTGCATCTAATGCAAATTCAAGCCAATTCAAGTGCCATCTCTGCAGAGATGAATAAGCATGCAAATCTGCTGTTTTGTTTTGGAGGACAATCTCCTGGAATTGCTTAATGTCTAGTTGTAACTGATGGCTTTTAATATCGCAGTCAGTTGACTTCAAGAGACTTGTAATTTTGGGGTCTACAACAAAGACATCTGGGAAGATAGTAGGTGCTTTTGAATGCCTTGGTTCCATTAAAATTAGTGTTAATGCACTCGTGCTTGGAAAACTGAGTGCCTTTACAAAGTTGTAATGAATTGGATGAACAGAAAACTCCATTGCTTGCAACAGCCTCTATTCTGAATGTCTGCATGTGACCTTGAAATGCAAGAATTTCTGGGCTAAAACATAGACAATGTTGAAAGGGTTGCAGATAAACCAAATGGGATATGAGAACTGGTAATAAATGTGGGAGTTTCTTTAAAAGCATACATGGGGTAATTCAAAGACAAAAGTACTTCTGAATTCAACTAGGACTTCAACATTTTTAAGAACATCCTGATATTTCTAACCTTATGGAGGTTCTCTGCTTAAGTTTTCGTTACTTGGTACTTGAAGCAACATGGTGCTCCATGGGTTTGGTGCATACCCCATGGAGGAAGGATCCTCTACTAAGGTTCTCAGAGCCACTTCTTACAGCTTTGTGGGCATCTATTTGCACACTGAGACCGGCTTGAGGCAAGCAAAGAACTTTGCTTCTAACATAGTAAAGTCTTTTGACAGTGTCTCGAAGAATGCATTTTTGCAAAGAGCATTGCAAGGGCAAGGAGGGTACCTTCTTTTAGCCATAAAGCTTTATAAAGGGACCCAAAGAAACTGTCAGCAACCAGCTGAGTTGTGTTGGTCTTTTTTGTTGTTGTTTTTTTTTTTCTCTGCTAAGCTCTCCTCTGTAGTCATGCCTTGACCCTGACTGAAATACGAGGGCACTGTGCAGCTTGAATGCAGCAAAGCCAGAATGACTCTAAGGCAGTCCAAAAAATTGAGCTGACAGTAACGCAGATCACCCTTTTCAGGAGTCTGGGTCCTTTATTAAAAAGGTTTGACATGTATTCCCCCCACTCCTGAATTGATTTGCACCATAAAATAAGCTTGAAGAGAAGTAGTGGTTGTTTTCCTACATGCTTCATTAATTTTAATTTTGGCAGGCAATATAAATAAAAGTATCAAGTGCAGATCTAATTGAATCACCAATGATTCCCAGCTCCCTGTAGTACCAGAGAACATGATGTAGCTGCTCTGTTTAGCAAGCATGGATGAGTTAGGCAAACAATGGCTCATTCTGCCCAGAGGCTTTGGTTTAATCTTTAGTACTTACCCATTTAATATGAGATAGGGCAGGAGTTTTTGCAGTGGGGGATTCACAGCAGAGACCTCTTTATCCTTACAGACTCATCTGTGCAAACAGTTAGGAAGGTTTCAGTGCATTGGGTCTACACCCAGAATTTTGTGGAATGGACTCTGGTACTTAGCAAGCTTGGCCTCCTCGATACATACTGACTGAAGGCTGTTTCTGAGCTAATTCCTACTTTCCATGTGTAACTGACCATTAAAATTAAGTAGTCTAATCAGACCTGGCCCCATGTAGTTTAGCCATAATGAAAGGATTCAGATTGAGAGAAGTCTTACTTCACTTGTCACACTGAATGGTCTCTGACTACTCAACTGACAAGGAAATCCAGTGCCTCCTGAAAAGGGCTGTGCCAAGAGACAACTTCTCCAGATCATTTCTGAATGGACGGTATGAACTTCTAATAGTATTTTTCAGTGGCATGTCACAACCGTTGGCTCCTTTCCATGTTGCTAGCTGCCTTTTGCTGCTGGGCATAGGGAAAATGAATTGGTGATCTTTGCATCTTAATAGATGTAGACTGCAGCAGGACTCCATGATTCATGGGGACAGGAGTACAGAAGCAGAAGGGGATCTAGAAGAGAAAGAAAACTACCAAGAGAGGTCAAACTGTTTTCTTTCTTGCAGGAGGGATATGAGGATATGATACACCCAAGTCATAGGTAATACATGTTGACAGGACAGTGTGATAAAAGCTTATGTTCTTTCCAGGCAGTGTAGACATCATTCCTGAACTAGAGAGAGAGCATGTCAGTCTTCAGGACCATCAGTCTAGCAGCAATTTGCACACAATCCATCATGCATACCATGTTGTTCTTGATAAGTAATACAGAGCAGATCGTAGGATTTCAACCCTGTTTTCGAGGTTCAAAGCTGCCTTCCAAGTTAAAATGATAGACATGCCTGGGAACCTTAGTTCTGTATTAGGTGAACTATTTGGTATTTGGAAAGATCTGGACAAACGAAACAAAACCACTACTTTATCAGGTAACTCTTTGGCTGAGGGATTTTATAACATCTTTCTCCCCTTCACTGTTATCCATAGCCATGTTGGATGGGGAGAAGACAGTTCAGTAACCCGAAGTGGCTTTTATTTTCTTTCTCTCTAGGAGCTGCTTCTGTCTCAAAAATGGCTCTGGAAGGCTCCTTCAGCTGCTGGAATGGCACATCAATCAGGCTGGGCCAGGCGTGTGACTTCATCAGAGACTGCACTGAAGGAGAAGATGAGGGAGCAATGTGCAGTGAGTAAATCCAAAACCCCAGACTGTCCTCCTTTTCCTTCTGGGAGATGGAAGCTGAGCAGCCCCTTTTAAAAGCATAAATTATTTTGATTTTTAATGCCTGAGACTTCAGTAGTAATTAATTCAGTACTGTCAAAAGATCAGTGTCCTCCATTAGACGTGCACTTTCTCTGGGTATCAGCATAGAGTGGACCACTTGATATGTTTCTGTACTTGCCTTCTTTAGTTCTGCGGCAGGTTTTTAAGCTGTTCTTACTGCCTCATCTATCAAATTCATGATCAAAAATGCAAAGAGAGTATAGCTTAAGCACTAGATGCTTTACAGAATTATGAAATGTGTGGTTTGTTAGTGCTTTTAATCAAAACATGGTACAGCATGTGGCAGAAGGTAGAAGGAGAGGAATTCTAAGATATGAAAAGTGAGTGGAGCCAGGAGCTTGTCTTAGACCAACTCCGACTATTGTGTCTTTGTTAATTACTCTCATTTTCTATCCTTTCTTCAGTTCTTGATCTTTGTCAGTCTGTAGATCAGGAGTTAGATAGCAATTTGAGTTTTCTGGAAACTTTACATGCCTGAATATTTCTGTAATTGTGTTACTTTAGATATTTTATAGCATTTCTTCAACAGTCTTCAATATATGTTGTCTTTTTTTTATATATATACTTTTATCTTTTCTGCCTCTATTGTATTTCCCTTTGTCTGTCTACAAATACTGAGGAGTGGTGGTTTGTTGTATTTGCCAATAGATCTAGCCTATGGACTCCTACTGACAGGACTGGTTTAGTATGCAAAATTGCATTCTCTGGCCAAAATACCTGTACTGCCAAAAGCCTTTGGAATAGAAGAGACAATTACTCTCAGTTTAGTTTTAATGCGTGACATTTAGAGCAGGGGTCAACCTTGGTGAAGTAATTCAAACAAAGTGTGGGTATGGGTGACATCTAGACTAAAAGACCTTTTAGCATAAACTTAACATGGCACTGATTCACAACTCCTAGCAAATTTCACACTTCAGTTCTTGCTGCTAACAAAGAAATAAAGTAACAGATAGTTTTGGTGTGGAGAACAGTGGTTTGGCCTGGGACCACCTAGGAATTTAGTCAAAATCTAGAAGTGATAGGCCCCTACTTTGTGTCATGAATTGTTATAATTTGAAATATTTGTTACTGACACATGCTGAGTTAGTATTAAATTCACTTCCGTAGAAATAGTGACATTGCTGCTGACCTGTAGCAGCTTAGAACCAAGAATGCTTCATATTACTGGTATAAAAACCTTCCTTTCACCTAAGAGCTTTAAAACAGAGCTTTAGAACAGGATTACAGAATGGTTAGGGTGAGAAGAGACTTCTGCATCCCTCTGATCCAATCCCTGCTTAAGCAGGGCCACCCAGAGCTGGTTGCCCCAATCCACATCCATGCAGCTTTTGAATAATGAAATTCCACATCTATGAGTAACCTGTGCCAGTGTTCCATCACCTGCACAGCACAGAAGTGCTTTCTGATGTTTATATAGATCTTCCTGTGTTCCAGCTTGTCCTCACTACCTCTTGTCCCAGCACTGGGCACCATTGAACAGCCTGTCTCCTTCTCTGCAGCCTCCTTTCAGGGTTTTATAGACATTGATAAGATCCTCCCTTAACCTTTTCTTCTCCAGACTGAGCAGCCCCAACTTTCTCAGCCTCTCCTTGCAGGAGAGGTGATCCAGCCCTTTAATCATTTTGATACTCAGATCTGATAATGATGTTTCTATTTTCTACACTTAAATTGAACACCCTTACAAAATTACGATAGTCATAGAATTATAAAATGGGTTAAACTGAAGGAGACCTTGAAGATCATCTTGTGCTAATGAGTAATGGGTAGGTATAATGCATTTTCATGTCACTGCAAGCACAGAGACATATTACTTACTCTTATTTAACGTGAATTGGTTATATGTCCAGATAGACTGTTATATTCTTAAATGGTTCTGCCTTGTGAGAGTAATCCTATCTATATCAGTGGGAACAGTAGAGTTCCTTCTGTGGAGCTGTGCTAGTCATGGATGCAGACTAAATACCATCGTAGCATAGGGCAGACCTAAAGGAACGTGACTCTACTTCTGCTATTCATGAGGATTTGTTCAGCTGCCTTTCAGCCAGCATTCATCCATAGCTATTAGCATAAAGCAGTATAGCACATTTATGTCAACATAAAAGTTTTTCAAAATTTTTAGATTTACTGAAAATACAGAAAAGGTAAGAAGGGGAAGATATGTAACCACCTATTTAGTAGAACAGTTCCCAGCTTGAGAAGACCTTACAGCTTGTTTTCAACCCCTGGTAGTGGGACACATTGCTCCCAGCCAAAAGGCCAAAAAGACACCATTTTCTACTACAAGCAACAAAAAAGAGAGGCTTGCAAGAGCTTGGGTTGTGCTCACGCACTTAAAACCTTAGTTTTGTTGCTGATTGCTCTGCTTCTGTCTGTTTGTTGTGTTGAATGTAATCATAGAATGCCAGGAATTGGAAGGGACTTGGAAAGATCATCTAGTCCAATCCCCTTACCAGGACAGGAACACCTAAGTTTTATTGGCATAAAACTTACACAAAAAAAGAAAAATGATCAAAATCTTGTTGTTTTAGTCCTGAGTAATGTGGATATTTTCATTAGCTTTCTGCAGGTGTGGCAAGAAGTGATTCTGACATATAGAGCAGGGAAAGGGGTTTCTTGAGAACTTCTGCTTACAAGAAAGAGCTGTCAGAAAAATGTGTAGCCATGCATGCGGCTGGAAAGGGAGCTTTTCAAGTTATCTTTAAACAAAGGCTGCCAACTTTGAGCTTCAAAATTGTTCTTAGTTTGTTTTTTCTTTTTCCTTTCACAGTCCTTTAGGTGCTTGGAATAATTCTTTTTTTCCATTTCCTCTTTCTTTTTTTTTTTTTCTTGTCATCTTATCATTTGATTTTTATTCCTTTCTTAACTGGAAAAAGCTCCCTAAACCTGCTATTTGTTAACATCCCTTTAATTATCAGTGGCCAATGAAAAGTCACGGTGCTTGTTCTGCAAGCAACCAATTAGTCTTTGTAGAAAGCATAAAATCAGACAGGGATGACCCCTGGAGAAAAGCATGATGCTGTGTTGCTGTTTGAGTCATAATCAAATAAGCTCGCAGGGGGAAAAGACAGCTTCAAAGAGGCAGATGTAGAGATAGATGCTGAACCATGTTGATTTGGGATCAGAGTTACAGATCTAACAGACTGATAGAAATGCCCCTCTGGAGATTATTTTGCAGAAGCATACTTTGCAGATGCATGTTAAGACTTCAGATAATGGTGGCCTTATGTCTTTGCTAGTAAATTCCTGATTATGAATTGTAACTTACTAAAAAAAAAAAAAAAAAAAAAAGAAGAAAAAAAAAAAAACCAGAGAAATTCTTTACTAATACAGATTGGCAGAGCTCTTCCTCTACAAAGGAGAATTTGTTTTAGTAGTTTTGTGCTTCTCTTATTAGGTAACAGTATCTTGGATTTTGGTTCAAGGATCTTTTGTTGAGGGCAGCAAGCCTAGAGAAGAAAAGTTTCACTGAAACAGAAGTGCATACACTTTTGTTTAGTCTAAAACTATCATAGAATCATAAAGGTTGGAAAAGACCTCCAAGGTCATCCAGTCCAACTGTCCACCCACCACCAGTATTTCCCCACTAAACTGAGTCCCTTGAATGCCTTTAGGGCCAGTGACTTTGTTAGCTTCTGGGTCAGGTTCACCAGAAGCATTCAGCCTGGGAAAATATTGGTTGATCAAGCGGAGCATGTAGGAAATGTGTGGAGGTATTTTTAAAAAGTATGTAGTAAAAATGAAAGTGTTGGTAGTACGTTTATTATCTGGAGACCCAGAACTTAGAGGATTCACTCAAGATGTGACAAACCCAGGACTGATTCTTTCTTCTGTCTGAATGAATTTGAACCTGTATTTCTGATTTCCTTTGAAAGTTTCCAAAGCAGTGTGGTCTGGAATATACAGTTTGGAAGAGAAAGCATTATTCAGTCTCTCCTGGTATTGCTCCTTCACAGTATATAAACATTACCTGCAAGAAAGATTGAGAGTAATATCCTCTGCCTTGCACATGAATTGCATAACCACTGGGTTATAGAATAATTTTCACTCTTTGCCTCACTGAATATTTAAGAATGTTAAACAAATTGGATTAACGCTAGCAGATGAGGTAAGAAAGACTAGTATCTGGTTCACAATAGGAGTGACTCAAACTGTTCTGTATAGTCAGATAAGTGCATACACATAGCTGTCAAAAATCGGATGACAAGTAGAATAGGAACCTGTGAAGTTTGAATTTGAGATAGCACAAGCAATTGGAAAAAAAAAAAAAAAAAAAAAAAAGAAGTACAGATAAATAATTCTAGAGCAGCCAGTTCACTTTCCAGGCAGAAAAGGAAACAACAGTGGATTCATAGATGTCTTACTGATAGATACAGGCGGCAGAATCCCCCAGCAGCAAACCAAATGAAAAAACAGCCTGTTGCATTGTAGTCCTGTTAAGGTTCCTGTCTTGCATACTCACATCCTTTTGTTCCTTTCTTGATCAAAAGCTGCGACTCTAGCAGTGAATTTTAATTTCTGGCAGTTCTCAACGTAGCAATCTTTCCATCATTAAAGGAAAACTCTTGTTGACTGTATTGAAATGTATTTTCCCTTTCTCTTCTTCATTTCCGATAGAATACGGTAGACAACTTTGGTAGCACAGAGACAGCCATTGAAAACAAGCTCACATTTAAGATTCATGTGCTTCTTTGAACTTTTTGAGTAGATGCCTTCTGAGATTTTCTCCTACATTTGGGAAAGGTCTGTACAAAAAATGAGTAATCTTTTATGTTTTTGTCCTCTATAATACAGGTCTGGAACTTCACTCAAAACTTTAAACTTATTGATTTGCACCTGGTTTTGAGTCAAGAGCCAGCCATTAATGAACCTGTTCCATCTGCTTCATAAATTATTCCAGTTGCTAGTTTGGCTTTCTGCTGTTAAAGGATGAAAAAAAAATGAGGTAAAGGTTGTTGTTGTTGGTTTTGTTTTTTTAAGACAAACAAAGCCACTTGAGTTTAACAACCTCTCAGGCAAAATCATTCAGAAGGCTTGAAGATACTTGGTTAAAAAAAATGTTTAACACCCTTCAGCATCTCTGTTTCTCAAAGAAATGCAAAGACTTGCATTCTCACAGTGCTTTAGTTTTGATTGGATTACTTTATTCTCTGTCCCAAATCCATAAGCTGCCTCTTGATTTTAGGGAGTTCTAAACCTTTTGAAGTTTCTTTCACCAGTGATAATACACAACATGACCTACTGTTTCAGTAGGCATAATGACTGCTCCATTTCACTTGTTTTTACAATAAAATCAGGTTAGCTTTCCTTCATTAGTGCAGTGTGAACACTAATGCAAGTTAGAATTATAAGCATTCAGAACACTGAGAAGTAGATGCTGACAGAGGAGTGCTGGCCAAAGTGCACTTTGTGAAGCAGCTATATGTACAGCACTTACAATTCCATGTATTTGAAGTAAGAAAGAGCAGCAAAGAACATTGCACTGGTGCACAAGACATCTGAAAATTCATAAAAGATTAATCTGTGGAGGAGCAATCAAATTTCTGGGGAAGTAATAGCTTCTTATTTCTATCCTTACTTGTTCATCTACAGTGAGCTTTTTCTGGCTTCCAGGCAGGGATTACTACTTAGACTCCTCCTGCTGCTCTGACTTCTTTACATCAACCTAGATAACGTAGGGCCGTGAAATGAATTCAGCTGGACACCAAGCCAAGCTGTTTCAGTAGGAATTCAGGACACATCATAATTTGTCATTTTCTTTGGATCTCAGCCTCAGGCAGCACAATGCAATATAATCAAATTCTGTAGTGGGGTAAAGCACAGGGAAGCAACTTTCAGCTTAACAACTCCACATTTAAGGACTAGGCTGAATGAATTGGGAGATGTTTTTTTAAAGGAGAGACTTGTAAAAACCTCAACTTTCAGTTTTTGATCTTTTCATAACAAATTTGGATGAATGAGGGAAACAAAAGCAATAAAATATACCTCTCACCTGTATGTCAGGTTCTGGGTTCAAATTTGGACCTACTAAAAAGCCATAGATGAAAGATTTGTTTCAGTCACCTCTGTGAAGCGAGCTGTGATTCAGGATCTTAGATTTATTCCTGTCGAGACAATGCAGTTCTGTTCCCCAGCAATTTTCTCAGGGTAGACCAGGAGGAAAATGAATGCATCACTGACAGTGCATTTCCTATTGAGGTATGTACTTGCAGTCCACAAAGCTAATTGTATCCTGGGCTGCGTCAAAAGAAGTGCAGAAAGTTGAGGGATATGTTTCTCCTTCAACTCTGCTCCCATGAGAACACACCTGCAGTGCTATGTTCAGCTCTGGAGCTCCCAGCACAAGAAGGATGCAGAGCTGTTGGAGCAGGTCCACAGGAGGCTGCAAAGGTGCTCAGAGCGCTGGAGCATCTCTGCTATGGAGACATGCTGAGAGAGCTGAGCTTGTTCAGCCTAGAGAAGGGAGAGCTCTCGGGAGACCGCATTGTGACTTTCCAGTACTTAGAAGGGGCAAACAAGAAAGGTGGGGAGGGATTTTTTATGAAGAAATGTAGAGGCAGGACAACAGATAATCTTTACTCAGAGGGTGTTGAGGCCTGGCACTGCTGCCCAGAGCTGTGGTGCCCCATCCCTGGAGGTGCCCAAGGCCAGGTTGGATGGGCTCTGGCAAACTCTGAGCTGGTGGGGGGCAGCCCTGCCTATGGCAGGAGTTGGGGCTGGGTGGGCTTTAGGTTCCCTTCCAACCCAAATCATTCTGTAATTCTGTGTATAAATGAGAGCTGAAGCCCTGTGAAGAGATGTTTGATTGACCTGCAGTCCTCAGACAGGGAATTCTGATCATATTTCAACATTTTGATCAGATGATAAACATTATCTGGGGTGTGGATACTGATTCTCGCTTTATAGACAAAAAGCTTTAGAGGGAAAGATTCTTCACATTCATGAGTTCAGGAGCCTCTTCTTCTCATAGGGAAGTTAATGAAATTCCTGGTATCACCCCACCAGCAGATTCTTTTGCTTTAGGAGCTTGTAGTTTATCCTACTTTTTGTAAGTCAAGAATTTTTTACTCTGACTTTGACAAACAGTTGAAAGGAAAAACTAATTTCCCGGATATGTGGTTTTATAATGTGTTTACACATTAAATTTATTTTTATCTGGCAATTTCAAACAGACTTCTGGTCTCGTTTTCTTTCCTTTCAAAAATAAAATAAAAAAAAAAAAAAAAAAACAACAAAGACAGTTTTAGGGGATCTTTAGGGGCAGAGGGAAGGAGAAATAAATATAGGCTAAACTGCTAGCACAGATTTGAGTACATAACAGTAAAAGCTGTGAGAAGTCAGGAATATCATCATCCCTTTTATAGCTACATCTGAACATCCTAGCACTTTTTCTACCTTACTGGAAGAAAGAACAGACCCACTGAGCACCTGTGTTCAGGGGCTTTATACTGCCACACCCTAGGACTGGTTTGTCTATATTGAAGGATAAAAGCAGTCATCGCTCTTCTTTATGTCTGTTCTGGCATCTTTGGTGTGTAATGGAACTCCATATTTAATGTGCACCTTTTTTTCCTAGGCTAGCTTTTCCCATGAAAGAAGTTTGTGCCCTTTTTACTGCTGGGAAGCTTCCCCATACCTGGCAGCGTTGTCAGCTACATCCTGGGCACAAAATCTGTATTATAGATGATGAGTTATTCACTGAAAGTGAAGATCATGTTATAATGCAGGTGATTTTTACATGACATTTTACAAGGCTCGTTTTCTCTGAGGTTACTTAATAAGGTCAGAATCTGCCATTGTGCTGAAGAAGAGAAATGCAACGGTAGAACCTATCATCAGTAGAAATTAGGCAATGTGTTTTTATTAAAGATGATGGGAAATGTGATTTTATAAATTTTCAAATTGAGTGAATTGTGGCACAATGGAGCATTTTTACCTGTGGCAGTGTAAGTGTATGGCTCAGATGTGCTTTAAACATTCTGTAAGAACCTGCAATGTGGACAAAGGCGATGACGAAGGTATGCAGACATGCTGCTTTGAATGTGGTGATTATTACTTTAAAACTCATTAATTTAAAGGCAAAAAGCTAGTATGTCTTTATTGTTTGGAGCTGGAAACCTGCTTGAAATCCAAAGCCAGTGACAGAATGAGTGGGCTTTGAATCCTGAAAGTATGGCTTAAAATAAACTATTTTCTTCCATTCACCCCACCAAACAGATCCACAGATGCAGGAACTGAAGCACAGAAGGGTTTAGTGCTTTATCTGAGACCTCATTAGAGGCACTTCTCACAAAGGGGAGAGGTCACAGTGCTGAGCTGGGCTGACTACGGGCATGAAGAGGGAAGCACGTTAGTAAATATCGCTGTCCAAGATTTCCCCAGCAGTAGAGGCCAGATAAATACCTGAATGCCCCATGATGCATACTGAAATATATCATCTTCCTTCAGTTTGTCTGGAGGGAGGCGTTTAATCACAGTCCTGGGCTTGCCTCCCTTACCACTGTCTGTATGGTCAGGCACGTGCATGACTCCACATAAAAAGCAGCTATGGAGTTGTCTGTCCTGGGCAGCTCTATAAAAATAGTCAGCTTCTGTGTGTGCCTAGGTGTCTTATCCACAGCTCATCTGTGTTCTTCTGTATGTGTGTTTCTCTCCACCTTGCAGGAAAACTTCCTTCTGGCTTTTACTGCTCATTTGAAGAAGGGGACTGTGGCTGGATGGAGGGCTCATCAGCACCCCGTGCTTCTCCATGGCGAATTGGGAGCCTGGAGTACAACCATTTTCCTTCAGTTGAAGGTATGGAAAAGTAAATAGTGCAGAAAGCAGATAGCAAAAAAAGATAAGCAAACGGTGGGGAGGTTTCTTGTGTACTTACAGATTCAGCCTTCAGTGAAACAAAAACATCTTTCTGCTATCTGTGCTTTGAGCAGGACTATCCTGCTTACTTTCCATCTTTAGGAAGAGGCTAGTTAGTACCTCAGGTTTCCTAGGCTGACCACAGAGAGAAGTCCTGCCTCCCTCTAGACAACTGTGCATGAAGCATTCATCTGTGTGCCCCTCCACCACACTGAACTGTTTTTTATTTCTGATTTACTTTTTCTGTGTCTGTTTTGCTTCTTTTTTCCCCCTCAAGCTTCCAAATTTTCCTTCTCTTTGCTCTCTTGTCCCTCGAGTTCCACATATATATATATATATAAAACTACTGCATACTTGCTTCCTCTATCCAAATCCCAGGATTCCTAATCCTTCTCATAGAAACCATTGAAGGTTTATACCCTGGACATTGAACTACTGCTGGTTGAGTTTTGATATGCAGGCTGCCTGGCACGATAAGACTTTTCCTAATGCAATAATGTAAATCATTGAAAGCATTTATTGTTGAGGCATGGAGCATTTTAATAGGATGCAATAACAGCAGAGTTAATGGTGTATAATCCCAACATTGGTTTACAAAGTTACATCCATTGTTAAACATAAAGAGTGAGATTCTCTGCTTTCTAGTGAACTGATACAGACTACAGTGCAGCTATTCTGATTTATGCCACCTGATGGCTCAGCTCACAGTACTGCAAACCACAAATGAATTGAAGCATAGGTAAACAAGAAATCAAAGGCCCAGAAAGTGGTTACTATGGAGAGATGGCAAAGAAATGATGATGATTCATGATCTGTCTGTGCTGTAGAGGCAATTTCATTGTATGCTCAAGTAACTAAGATCCAGGTAGTTGTACCTTCCAGAACTGAAATATTGCAATATATACTTTTTGGTCTAGAGCTGTCAAGGAAGAACTCTAACGTTACTACTTGTTCCTCTGGTTACTACTAATGTTTAAGGTAGCAAAAGTACTTCAAGCTGCATTAATGCTTCTCTCGTTATTTTGTTGCCACTGTTTGATTTTGTTTTGATGAAGATGAAGATTTGTTTCCAAGTTTGTTTTTGTGTGTGTGTGTGTGTGTGTTGAAAAAGATGCTAAATCACCTTTGCAAGAAAGATAAATTGGAAGTTGTGGAGGAATAGAAGATAACTGTAGGAGGAAAGTAGTCGGGCTGCCCAATGAGAATGTGAAGCTGCTTCCCTATGAAATTGAAAAATATATTTTCCTATCTGACATCCTGCTGTAGTAGGAGCCAGCTTACATAGGCTTTAAGGAAGTTTCCCAAAACCAGAAAGTAGGTTCTGCAGTTTGACCTTCTTCCTGCTCTTTTATCTAGATTTTGCCCTGATCCTTGACACCAGCAAAGCAACAGCAGGAGCAAGCACTGTAATGACCAGCGCTACATTTCCAGCCCCATTGAGGAACTCCCCCTGTGAGGCAAGTCATGTTTTCTTTTCTTTCACACTTTTCACTATGCCTGACTCTGGTTTTCAAATATAGGCACTAGATCAGTAGCCCAGCAGCCACTTTCTCCATGGTTTGTCTTTGAAATATTTACTTAATGTCCTAATGTGCAAAGAAAAGAGGTGGTTATCTGCTTGAAAAACCACTAAATGTATACTGAGAAGCCTGGTGTGTATTGCCCTGATTGTATGATCCCACATGATGTAGCAAGTTTTTGTAATTGGATTTATGAGCTAAGGTAGGACAGCCAGCATTGCATAAATGCAGAGAGAAAGAGGCTGGCTGCTTTATATTTGCAAAATCCAAGAAAATCCACTCAGAAAATCCACTCAGTGCATGTTTCTTCTAGCTCAGCTGAGATTCAAGCTGGCAGGCCTTCATCACGTTGCACCTCAAAACTCCTCACAGAGGCCATGCTCTTAGGAGCACCCAGCAGTGGAGTCCTCTGCAACTCTTAGGAGTTACCAGCAGTGGAGATAAATTCATACAAAACAAGCCAGATTCATGCTCAAGCAGAAAAGCTGTTAATAGTCATAATATGTTAACTTAAGCAAGTATATCAATATTTGTTAGATAATTGTGCACAAGTAGTTGTCATTTCCAAATCAGTTGTATTTAACCCTTAAACTTCTGGTTAGAGAAAGATATCATCTCTGTCTTTTTATCTGGTCTATAGCTTCACAGATTATATCATCACTGATTGTATTTATGGCTTATGATTTTGAGTCACATGTCTTGATTGCTCATCCTGAGCTTCTGGACCCTGGAGCAGGATTGCTTGGGGAAATTGATTCTTACAACAGATAAAAAAAATCAGGCCTTTCCTCTTGCACTGATCTAAAAATGCAGAAAGGACAGAAAGGGATACATAAGAAAATGCTCTGAAATTAAAATACTTGAGTGTTTCTTTTGCTTAAAGTTTGGTTCTCTTCTGTTGTGTATCTCAGTACGTACAGCAAAGCACATCTGTGTTTGCTCTCTTGATATATTAATGTCTTCCTTCTTTAGGAAATACATTCTACCTTGTTTTTCCTCCCTTCTGTGACAAAGGCATATGCAGGTTCTGAATATTTTAAGACCTTGTTCTGCCATGGACCAGCAAGAGCAAGTGTTTTTCATCATCTACCTGACACAGGAAGCAGAGTGAATGATTTCCCAATATGTTTATATTTTTACCTTGTGTATACAACAGTGCAAATAATTAAACTTGCTATCAGGGGAGAAGCTGTCGTGTATTTCATCTGCTCACATGCCATCCCACCTCCGTCACTCCCCTTGGCACTTAAAAGGCATCCGGACACATCCAGCATTGCAGCTGTTGGTAATATAGAGTAAAGGAGTTTGGCAAGGGTTTTTGTCTCTTGTCTTTTCATATAGTGTAAAAGCTTCTCTTCTCAATGAGCCCCCGGTGGCTTCAAATTCTATTTTACTGGCACAATCTTTCTGTGAGCAGAATAATTTGATTCCACTTTTCAATACAAGAGGAGAAAAGAGATACTCCCCCACACACTTATTCTTCCAGTAGGTGCCAACAAGCTCCTGTGCAGTGAAGTAAAGGTCAGAAAAGAGGCTGTGAAAATACCGCAGTCCTATCCTGTATTTTTTTCACCCTCAATCACTTCCCAACTGAACTGACTCAAGGTCGGGCTCTAAAAGATGAGTTTTCTTCTACCTGTCAGTGCTGACAGCTCCACCTGGCATATCACAAACAGGACAAGTTCTCTGGCAACTGAAATCCCACTGACAAAGTTCACTTATGATTCATGTGATAAAGGGATCTGAGCACTTGCGTGTAGATTAGATCCATTTATTCTTCTGCAGTCAGATCAAGCCATAAACCTGCCTGCCCTTTCGTAGTTGTTAGTTCTGACAGCTTGTTTCAATCCATCCAGAGAGATTTTCCTCAGATTCACAGGTGGCAGCAACACATGAAAGTGATGGAGGCTTTCCTCAGGCTGGTCATTTTCTATCCCTCCTCCTTCTTCTATCTGTCTACCCCAGTGTCAGCACAGCCAGCTCAGTTGAACTCCTGCTGGTGGGGTTGAATGCACAACCCCACCTCACAGTTTGTTCACCTCTCTTGTGTGCATAGAGCACACCTGCCTTGGACACTTATGGCCTTACATGGAAAGTGTGAGAGCAGCAGTGAGGTCAGCAGATGTCCACAGTTTGCTGATTTTCACTCCCCTCTTCCCTTGTAACACAGGAGCACTAGCCTCTCTGTTTCCTGAAGCTCCTATTTTTTCTCTTATCTCTTAATTTGCCTCTATTGTGTTGAGCTATGTTAGACAATAACATCCACCATAACAAATGTTGACTTTTCAGCTTGAGTTGTACAGAGGAATTAATTGCTTTAGCCTCATCACAAGGAGCATTCTCTGCTGCAGTACCACGCAGGGGGAGCTATCTTATCTGGCCAAAATGTCCATGGAACCAGGACATATTCCAGTGCTGATAAGGAAACAGTCAAGCATACTGTGGTGCTTGCCAGCTACAAAGAATCAGAGACCCAGCACCTATTGAGATTCTGGACGGGTGTTTGCAGCAGTGACATAAAGCACTGAGAGATCCCGGATCCAGGATGATCTTTGGCTTAGGTATTGCTGCTGAGTACAGGATAGACACATCCCTTCATCTTCGTGTTCCACCATTTTGTGCTTTCCTCTGCTTGAGCTCAGTCACTAGGAATATGCTGGGCTGCTTGTGTGCTGTCTCCTATAGCATTTCCCATGCCCTGCACAAGGCTTCTCTAGCTCACAAAGGAAAAATCAGACTGATCTACTCTGTTCTGCCTCACATAGATCAAAAGATGAGGATAAAAACCCATGCAGGAGACAGAGTCATAAACATAGCCTGTACTTTCCCACACATTTGGGATTGGACCTAATGTGCCCTGCACTTTGTATATAGCTTCGTATTGCACTTTACTCCTGTTTTTTTTGAGCAGCTTTATATTTTCATTTTTCTTTTTTCTGCAGTGCTTTTGGCAGGTCAGAGCTGCTGGTTTGTGATGCTGCCCTTTGTTCTTGGTTCAGTTAGTTTTTCTTTTTTGTTACTTTATTAGATCTTGGCTAGAGTATCCTGACTTCAAAGAATTTCCCTTGTTTGCTGTCCAGACAGTCTTTGTTATCTTTTTCATGTTGCACATTAAATAGAGCCCTTTGCCTGTTGACCCATTAACAGTGTATTTAATGCCCAGTTTAAATGTAAGAGGGAAACTGACAATTCTAGTAAATCTTGGGAGGGTGCAGGAAATGGCACACGTAGTTCACAAGAGATGCTCTGAGGTGACCAGCAAGGGTGAACACAATGAAAAAAAAGAAACAGAAAATGATTCAGAAACCAGACTGAGACACGGTAGTAAAATGGAAAATATTTTTAACCCACATCTAAAAGTTCATCAGAAAGAAAAACGTGTGTAATTGAGCACAGGAATGCACGTAAACTCTGAAGAATTAATCCGATGTTGTCCTGATTTGAAGGCAAGTTTTATAAACGTTGAACAATAGAGAAAAGCATTATTCTCCCTTTTGCTTCATCTTGTTGATCCTCTCCTCAGAGTAGGAATTGGGTGGCCTGCACAGGGCTGTAAGAGCACAGGCTCACGGGGTGGTTGGACATTTCCTCATTTTAAAGAAGCAGCCCATATGCCTGTCATCAGTAACTGCACTACAGTCTGGGAATTCAGGAAACCACATTGCAATTCAAGTCCAAAGGAAGTGCTGTCATCTCAGACGCCACCCATGGCAAAACTAAATTACTTTGCCACAGCTGATATCCCTTAGGTGTACACAATTTCCAGATTGTAATGGCCACCTGCTTCTCAGTATTTACGCAAAGATGTCAGAGAGCTGACAAAAGAGTTTTGCAGGTGTCAAGGGAGAACTTGCCCTTTGTGTGGAAGTTATGAACTGCATTCTGGCCTCCCACATCTGGACAACGTGGCAGTCCCATCTCCTTCAGTCCCAGAACTATTGCTAGGCAGATGCAGAGTCACTACACTGACTTTGCTTTTTATTCCATTTTTCAGACGTTCTCCAACATCTGCAGCCTTATGCTTCAAAGGATGCTGTGGTGCTTGTTAACCATAAGTCATGCACTGTGTTTTCCCCAAGTGTTTGGGCTTCTGTGGTAAAGAGATATAAGACCAGGCCTAAGACTACTGCATTTTTGAGGGCTTGGTGCAGTGTATACCTGGCTGAGCAGCAGAAGTTATAACTGTTCTGAGAGATCTCATTTTGTGGTGGATCGTGATTATTACTGCTGCTTGAAAGTCGCTGCAGACACATGAGCAGCCTGGAAACTGTTTTTAGACAGGCTGCTCTTTGCTCAGCACGAGAGAATCTGATGGACCTCAGTGCCATAACTGAAAATTAAAACCTGGGCAAGAGGTGTTGGTGTGGGCTATAATACGGGAGGAGAATAACAATAGAGATGGTGTTTCCTGATTTGTGATGAACTTAAAATTAGCTTTAAATGTCATCATACTCATAGAAGAGAAGCTTGCTCTTTGCAAGTGGGACTCCCCTGTAATTGGTAACGAAATGATTTCATTTTCATTAGATTCTGCTTCAAACATTTTAAAGGGTATAGCTGGGCTGCAAAACAATGAAAAGAGATCCCTGTAAAAGAGCTTTGTGCCTTTGGCCATGTTTAAAACAATGATTTTTTTTTTTTTCTGATGCAGTTTTGACATTTCAACTAGCTGTTTCATGTAAGCCTCCATTATATTACTGAAAGAGGTACCAAACTGAGCCAGGCTTTTTTTTTAAATCTGAAATTAGTTTTTGAATGTAAATCCGGCCCCTCTAGAAGATGAACATAATATGTTGATGTAAAACAGCATAGTTGAAGTTTGCCCTCTCATTTGGGTTATGAAAGATGGTTTCATGCTCCGTGGTTATTAACTCAGTTTTCTTTCCTATGCAAAAGTGTTGTATTTTTAAAGCGTGTAAATCAATAATTGAAATAATTCCTTGAGCACGTTCTGAGCCCCATGCTGGCAGCAGCAAGGCATGTCTTTTTTTCTCCTCTGTTCTTTGAGTTTTAAACAACTTAGAAGTGTACATGTTAATAACATTGATTCACAACATTTATGAGCATGAAAAATGCAACATAAATATGCCTCTAGCGCATCCTTTCATGTGCTTTATTTTGCAAAATGTTGTTAGCATCCTTTTTATTTTAAGTGCTGGTTTTAATATTTGTACCGCTCATATGCTGTTTCTGTTCTTACCAAAACTGATTCTTCTCTTGACACCTTGCTGTTGTGTCACTGAATGATGTATGAGATCTGAAATTTCTCAGAGGCCCAAAGTTTATCCAGGAGGGTCTTGGTATTCTTCTTCTTTTGCGCATACAGAAATAAAATGCAAGTTTTGCTTAGTTCTCAGATAGTTTTGGAGCTGTGTATCTGGTACCCTTATTGTTTCTCTTCACCTCTAAACTTGCCAAGCCCTGTTGTTATTGATGAAGATTAGTGGTCTTTCAGCTAATCATCAGTTACAGTGGGTTCTAAAGCCAGAAAGCAAGGCAGTATTGAGCCAATGTCTACCTACAGTGCTTAATTAATTCCTAAATGATGTTTCTGACTCTTTTGCTGCTGGTTTAACACAGAGGAAGATATTTGATATGTAATGTTGGGGATATGCCACCAACAGCCCAAATTCAGATTTTTCTAAGCATTGCCCTACGCTATTTACAGGAACTCATAATGTATGTGGCACCACCTGCCATCACTGATGGTGTATTCTGTAGAATGAATGCCAGCCCCATTTGGAAGTCTTTACTATGGCATCCAGCACATCATCTGCTCTGGTTCACTTCAGCAGGTGTGAAAAGACCTGGACTGCCCTGCTGTGAAGCTTAGAAATGACAGAAAATGTGGCCAAAAATGCCCATTTGGACACAGTGACAGTCAATTCACTCGGAGCCAGTTCATTAGAGCCTGCACATTGCACTTTGCCAGCGAGCTGATCTCCCACATCTAATGCCAGCTACATCTTTCCCTCAAACAGCTGACATGTGTGCAAAGGCATCCATTCCAATTCATCAGTTGCTTCAGCTTGTACTCTAGTGTTATGTTAATAGCTATCAAAGGCTTGCTCTTTCCTCGCTTCTGACAATGTAGATTCTGCCTCTTATTGTCTGGCAGGTCTCCAGAAGAGACAGAGGTCTGAAATCTTGTGTATATTAAGATGTTCAAGGCTTTACCTCCTCAATTTTGAATTGTGAAAATGGCACAGTGAAGTTAAGTTGTTCCATCTTATCTGTCTTAGAAATTTCACATAGGGTGTTACAGTACAATTGGCATTAATGTCCTGAAACTTTTTCACATGAAGCTTGTCAGTTAGAGGATTTGTTTTTCCTGCAGTAGGTTGAATTTGTTGCATGTCCACCATAATCAGCCTGTTCGTTGTCTGGCTTTGGAAGTTTCAAAAAAAAAAGTTCAGTCCTGATAAACTTCAAGAGAAAGGACCTGGGGTCCCCTTCTCTGGAGCTATTCAAGACTCATCTGGATGCTTTTCCATGTAGCCTGCTGTAGGGAACCTGTTTTAGCAGGAGGATGGATTAGATCATCCCTAGAGGTCCATTCCAGCCCCTACAGTCTGTGATTCTGAGACTTCACTGGATCTGAAAGTGGTACTGAAGGGAAAGCAATTTTCACTGTAGTTTCATTCTCACTTTATAGACGCTCAAGAATATTAAATGCTCACCTTGTTCTTTACTATCTTGATTGTCACCTGACATTGATGCCATGTGTGCAGTAACAGTTAGGAATAGCCTGCAGATGTCCTGAAGTTTGCTGACATCAACCTCCTATACCACAAAGCTTTATCAGCAGCTTCTTTCACCAGTGGTGGTGAACTTGTGTGTATGAATTCAGTCCTTGCCTAGCTGTGTCACAGAGTGACTCCAAACATTTCATGGCCAAGGAGGAAACAGGAAAAAAGGGTAGATTACAAACTTCTCACTAAAGTTTAGTCCTGATCATAATATGACTCCTCTATTAGGGAAATGAGAGAGAGAGCCCACCACTGAAATTTGCTCCTGATGTACACTTAGCAACAAAATGCTATGCAAATACATCCAATCATGTACACCAGTGCTGACTCCACAAATCATCTTTCCTCATTTCCTTGTGCAGCAGGACAAGTGTAGCCTTAGGTTAGCCTCAGTCCACTCTTTGTGTCCCCATGAGACTTTGCTCTCCCAGAGATGAAGTTTTCTCAAAACAGAATTTCTGAGGTTTTGTCACATAATTGGTTTCTCACTCTTAATACACTCGATAAAAGAGCTCAGGCCAGAGTTTGCAGCTTCTGTTTTATGCTAAGAAATGGATATAAATATTTTATTCCATCAAAGCAAGCAAGAAGGTAATAGTAACAGATATTCCTTTGCAAAATATAAATTTAATTCCTAGCTCCCTGACTTAATTGTTGGTTTTGAAATGTTAAAATTGAGGGCCATCTTTTAACATGCATTGGCACTGTGCTGAACACCTTTCTGTGTCCAAAAATCCATCGTTAATGTAGCTTTAATGAACTTATTTCTTCAACATTCTCACCTCCTATGATTATTGAGACTCATGTAGTATTTCTATATATTTTATTAACAAAGAACTAGCTTTTCTTCTTTCCAAGAAGATCAGGCAGCTGTATTCGTACAAGATTCTGAGACTAGCCTGACAGAGAAGGGTTTCTTCCTTTTCAAAGAACGAGGGAGGGAAAATCATAAAATGTGAAATCTACATGAAATACTTTTCTATACATAGGAGTAAGAACATAGGAAGGGACTTCATTACATTTAATGTAACAACAAAAAGTAGAAAACAGGTTCCCTAAGGTATTTTAATTAATTTAAAAGAAAGAAAAACAACACCTAATTATTATTACTGAATCTTAATTAGAAAGTCTGTAGAAGCAAGAAGGTAAGGATTTTTAATTTTTGGAAAGAGTAAGCAAGGGATGAGAATATAATTATCATACTTAATGCTCCCCATGATTTTGCTGCTGCCTGCATGTAAAAAAATGTTGCTGTAAAAGTTTAGTCTTAACTTGAGTCTCATCAGTGGCACCTAAGGGGAGAGAGGTCTTTCTTCTGCAATAATAGATTATTAGCTTATCCATTTTAAATTACAGACACATATATAATAGCAAAATCAGATGTTTTTGGACTCAACTTTAACAAGAAGAAAGGGCAGTAGCGCCAATAGTAAATAGGATGTACTAAGCCTTAGAGGCTTCCATGTGTGTGGTGAAACTGGAGTTTTCTAAAAGGATTACATGGTCATAAGGGAGAGAGAATTGACTTTTTGGTGATAAGAAAACACAGAAATGAAGAGTTAGGAATTTGTTAAATTTTGGATAATGTTTGTTATGTTTCATCTCTTATGTTCTCTTTCTTCTAGCTACGAATGTCATGGCTTATCCGTGGTGTCTTGCTGGGAAATATATCCTTGGTGCTGGTTGAGAACAAGACAGGGAAGGAGCTGAGCAGGACATTCTGGCATTCAGCAAACAACGAAGGTTTGGGAATATGGCAGTGGTTGATCATACCTCTCCCAGATATACTGGACAGGTACGAAGTCTCTCCCCATCATTCTCCTTCTCACTGATCAGTCACTTCACCATTTGCTACTTGGCAGTGAAGATGGCCAACATCACTTCTGGAAGTATTTCCCTTAGGGAGAGGGAAGTGCTTTGCTCCTGAGAGGTGTCTTCTGAGAAGGGTAGTGAAAATAGCTTGCGTAGTTAGCACCCAATTTTAAAACTGAACGGTGGTTTTGGTTCCCCAGTTGGTTCACTGGTTTTGCAGGGTGTAATTTCTGTATCTCCATTTCACTGATTGGAAATAATCATTCTCCTCACGCATTTATTTGTGTAGTGTGTTTCAGTTCTCTTATGATTTGCTAGAGTTGATGTGAGCTTTACAGTTAGTTTTTGTTTTTTTTTTTTCTTCTGGATAACAAAGCCCTTAACTTCTGATGCCTCTAAATCTGAGGATGAAAGACACGGGAGAAGCACCTACTACCGAATCAGAAAAGGATGCTTATGAGCACCTTTGTGTTAGCTGTAGCAGGAGGATTAACATAATAAATGGCTGTGTCAGTTTCGACTGTAGTCTTAAAGGTTCATCTGGTAGCATATGCTTCATCTTGTGGCATATGCTTATTTACAGAGTGTTGTTTTAGCTGCTTCTTACAAGTTAGCTTTAAGGGAATACTCTGTTGCTCCTTGTTTATTTTTGTGTGCAATCTGGCCTATGCTGTTTAGAGAGAAGACACAAACATACTTCACCTCCTGCTGCCCTGCCTTTAGGCAGTATGATGCATCTGCAGGCTGTGTCATGAGCACTGGTGTCCTTTGTCTTTTGGGGAATCTGTGCCCTAGAAATAATGGATTTCGTTAATGATTTGCCTCATAAGAAGTTTGAGCAAACACTGTGTGAATATGTCTTTTATCTTGCTGTCTCTGAGGGCTGCATGTAGGCAGGGAATACAACAAGGACACTACCAATGCTTCGGTCTGGAATGTATAATTAATATACGTGCATCAAGGGTTTTAAAAATATATGCATTAGGCTTGTGCAGTCACTGCTGAAGCTCCATTTGTAAAAATACCTGGTTGCTTCATTCTCTTCAGCTGTGTTTACTTTCAAGACTGGCGTATTTTGCCATTATTATTTATGTGATTTGTTTTCTAATGTTGCCGTGGGAGTGTTTTGTATCTGAATTATTCTGTTCTCTTATACTACTGTTTTCCTTTAAATTCTCTGTTGTTGCACCATCAGACAGAGGATACTTTGATGTTAGGAACCAGGCTAGAAATGCTTCATGTGAAACCACAGTTCCAAGTGATATACAGTGCTGACTATTATTTATAAGGTTATGACACCCTTGTTTCCTTATTACTTTCAGAGAAAGACAGTTGGGTTCACTGAGAAAAGAGCTTGTTGGCTGTTAAAACTTAAGAAAGGAGATCTTGGAAGTTTTGTTGTCCCTTGAAAAGTTTTTAATCCTTATTTATTCACAGAAATTGTGGTGTTTTAAAGACTTTTTTAAAGTCTGATTTAGTTGAAGCCAGTTCTTCCTGTGAACTGTGGAAATACTGCAGGCATCTTTCAATGTGACTTCATTCAGACTTCATTGTGAAGTCTGCTTCTTAGGAAATCTGGATTGGTGCATGCATTAGGAACAATATGGAAGTGACACGCCAAAGTGGTGCTCGGGAGATGGCAGTATTGCATTTATCCTATGTCATTTATGTTTGGAGATAAATGACAGTTTTATTGAATTGCAAGAATTACTTAATTGATGAGAACTCTGCGCTGGGACTACAGAAGGCTTACTGTTTATGTCTTCTGTCTAATTGGTGCTAGTGTCAATAGCTATGAGGGTCTGCATTAGACAGAAGGAGGCACGATATTGTAGATATTCCTGCATGAGGAGCTGAAACATTAAGTCATCCCACAGCAGTAAAACTCTTGAATAGAGCATACTAATGTACCACTTCCACTCAAAATTAAAGTGCCATCCATTTTGACTGAGGAGCTGAGTGGAAAGTGTTATTAATAACAAGATAATACGCCCTAAAACTGCTCAAAAGCATGCTTGTTCAAAAACTGCTTAGCCATTATTTCTGTGTTTGGCTTTTCGCCCTTCAAAGAATCATTATCATAGAATCATAGAATGGCTTGGGTTGGAAGGGACCTTTAAGATTAGGAAGATTTCCAAAACTATTAGACCACTTCTGTCTTTAGAAGCAGACATTTCTTAAATGTTTTATACCCCTCAAGTTCCTGGGGGAAAATTATATTTTGGCAGATAAGCGCAGCTAGAACATTTCAGGTGATTTGGCAGGAACAAAAAGCATGGAGGAGCATGACAAAGAAGCTAATTTGGGACTGAGGGACATTAAATTTCTATCATTAGCCTGGGGAACTCTGGACACATCCTTAATTTCAGGGAGTACAGTGGGGAGAGGATTGAGGATTGTCCTTCCTGCCATTTGTTCCCCAGGAACACATCCAGTTGAAATTTTACTCTGTAAGATTTCATTTACTTTGGGAAATTTAACGATGCTCAAGTCCTGGCTTTTTACATCCTCCCTTTTTTTGGGGGGGTGTTGGCAAAACAGTCTTGAGGATCAGCTCCTGCAGCATGTTTGGGTGAACAGAAATGTAATTCCAAATGCTCGGTATCTTCTGAGCACAGGTGAAGAAGAGAAAGGGCCCAGCTTCTACTCCTCCCTGAAGGACAGTTTATCTGCAAATCAGATCATACGCAGACAGTAGAGAAAGCTAGGAAATGGGTTGTTTTTATGCAGTGATGTAACACTAAATATTTGGGTTGAGAACAGCATAGAGAACATTATCAAAGAATTTATGTGGACAAATTCTGCTGCTTTTCCAAAGTTAAATGATAAGGCTCCTGAAGGTTGTCCTTTTTCAGCATCACGGAAATGCAAGTAGGCAACACAGCCTTGAAAGCTCTGTGATAGTTAGGGCTTGATTCTTTTACAGTTGTTATAGTTAGTAAACATGAGCTTAAATTTTAATAATGGTGTCATCATGGGAATGCGACAGCAAGAACAGAAGCCTGGTGTAATTGCATATGAGTGATTTGTACAGCTAACGATTAGACGTGTGTTGTTCTCTTAACAGTATGGTTAAAGTGTATCTCAGAGAAGAATATCTCTTGTAGATTGAATGCTAGCACGTGTAAAGAAGTGACACTCCAGCATTTACTGCAGGCTAATGCTGATTATCACTAGCCCATCTAGCAACTGTATTGCTAGGTAGAGTTAAGGCTAAGAGAATTAGCTCAAATAGGCTGATATCCAACTGGAAAAGTAGTGCTCTGATTAAGAAACAATTTCTTGATTACTGCTCTCTTAGTGAAGCTGAAGTAGGCATGTGGAAGGAGACACAGTGAATGTTCTGAGGGTCTGTCTGCCCTCTGGCTGAAGTTCCCTGGAAGTGGCTGCTATGTGAGCCTAGGCAGTTGGACTGGTCCAACTCTGGACTCTTCATACATATCTTCTCCCCTACAGCTGTAATTCACTTAAAAGTTTCAGAGTAAATTCTGGTAAAATAGCAAGTATTAATAGCCTTCTGTCTGCACTCAGTACAGTCCTCTCCTCAACAAAATTGAAATACAGACTGTAACAGGTCAGTTGGAAAGCTTCAAAAATCATCTAGTTAACTGCCTGGCCATTTCAGTGCTAACGAAAAGTTAAAGCATGTTATTGAGGACATTATCTAAATGTCTCTTGAACGCTGACAGGCATGGGGCATCAACCAGCTCTCTAGGAAACCTGCTTCAGTATTAGATAACCCTCACAGGAAAGAAATTTTTCCTTACATGCAGTCTGAACCTCCTCTGGTACAGCTTTGTGCCATCCCTTTCATTCTATCATTGGTTACCTAAGAGAAGAGATTGGCACCTCCCTCTCCATTTTCCCTGCTCAGGAAGTTGTAGAGATCAGTGAGGTCACCTCTTAGCCTCCTTTTCTTCAAACAACACAAACCAAGTGTTCTAAGCAGGGATAGGCTCTATGTGCTTTTACCTGGGAAGCACATTCAGAAGGTAAAAAATAATATTCTTCTGCTGCCATTCTACTGATGAGAGTTTTAAAATTTTGTTCTTGTTGATAACATTTTCCTAAACATGGGCTGAGAAGTTTTACTACTAGATAAGGATGTAACATTCCTAAGGATTAAATTAAAAAATAATAATTAAGAAATAACAGACTTCAGTTACTCTAGAAGGAAACATTCTGCTGCAGCAAGTCAAAATTGGTGTCCAGATGATTGTACTTTCTTTAAACTGCTATCTTTACCCATTCCAATCTTGCTGGCTCACTGGTTTTGTCTGAACTGCAGTGAAGCTCATCAGCTTCTCATGGTTATATTAAAGCAGGATTCCCTTTTGGTCCTCAGGAATGTGATCTTTTGTTCTGTCTGTCTCTTTCAGTAGCTCTGATCTCAATGGCAGCTGGGGAACATCTGGCTCATTGCTGCAGTATAAAGAAGTCATCTCACAGTCATACCACTCTGTCATATTTTGCCAGCTGTGCCAAAGCACTCTTCTTGTCTGATCATTTCTTCTTGCATTGCTTTCTCATCATACTCCTTTCTGATCTTATTTCTGTTCAAGTTCAGGATGCCAGGTTTCTCATTGAGGAAGAAAAGGAAAGTTCTTGGCAATATCTTGTGCTCAGAGACACGATTGTCTCATGTTATTCCTGAAGTTTTTTCCCATTCTACCACAAAGAACCAAGGATCCTTCATACAAGCTAGACTCCTTATACATTACCACATCTGTATTTATTGGTTGTACGTTCTTCACCCAGAATTCTTTATTCTTTCTTCCTCTATGGATCCAATGAGTAGTCCCACATTACTTGGTTAAAAACAGAATGAGTCTTTAATGTCTGCATCACTGCCCTGCTGTTCTATAGCATTAACTAAGTTTGCTGCTGTTCTCTTGATATAGCTATTCTGGCTGTTCTGTTCTGAAAAAGTGGTTTTTTGGTGACAGTGAGTACCTGTGACAGATTTTGTATGAGTATATGTTGTGTGGTTGCCCTTAATAACACCTTTGAAACTTAACCTTTATTACTGGCTAATTCTGCCTCTGTAACTGAGACTGTAACTGTTAATATGCTTATAGTTCTCCAAATAATCCCATTCCACCTGAATATGTCTTTTATCTCAAATAGTAAGTTCTTTGTGAAATAACAATACATCATTTTTAACAGAGGAGTTAATGGGAACCCGTATGTGATAAGGGTTACTGACCCAAAACGTTTCCCTTCGCTAAGTACCTCAATCTCAAGAGGTTCAGCTGTAATTATTTTAGCTAGGTAGAGAGAGAAATCGGTTCCATTGGAGGCAAAACAGTACAGGCACACTGTGATTGCATCACTGTGTGGGGGGTTGACTATTAGGAGATTAACATTCAATCTTGATCAATAATCCCTGTTTTTACCATAAAATGAAAAATTAATTATTGCTATGAGACATTCTAAAATAAGAGCAGATGGGTAGCTACCTGGAAATCTAACTGGCTGTATGAACCAAGAGAATATCTAGGTGGAATTCAGAGTTGCTGCTGAAGGAAGGGAGCTGCAGAGAATTCATACAAAATTTGCTGAGGTTCTCAATATAAGGAGAATGATTTTTCTCCTCCATGTAGCAGAGGACGTAATACACCTGAAATCTAACATTTCTGTTTAGTGAAGACCTAAGGATAGGTGTCATAAGCAAAACATTTTGTCTTCATGGAAGCTATGTAGATGTATTCTCATAATTTTGGCTCTTTATTTCCTCGATTTTGGGAAGGGGACACGGAGCACAAGGAGAAGCAGTCTTCTGTTAGTAGCAAGGAAAACATAAGGGAACAAAAAGAAGCGGCTGAAGGATAACCCCAAATGATACTGTTAGTCTCAAATACTGAACACTCTGAAATAGGATCTAAAGTTTATGAAAAGTGAGGAAGACTGCAGTACAGAAGGTTCAGTGCTGTCCTGTTTCTGTGTCAATTTTAACTTATTTGGAATGTACTTGGTGTTACCTTTCAAAGAACAGCTCATCTGGATTCTAATTTCATGGGTTGGGCCAAAGAAACAAACCAAATGAAAGTAATTTGCTATGCCTTTGGTGGCATTTCTTAACTGTGATTCTGAAGTATTTCATCAGTAGTCACCCCTGAGTGGTTTTTGAATTTATGTGAAATTTGAATCCTTCAGAAAGCCAAGTTGATGCTCCCCAATGGGAGATGTGAATTAATTTTTCTTGTCCACCTGGTACAACATTTTCCATCTGCCTCAAACATATTATTAAAAAAATTGTAAAAAAAGACTACGTGTTCTGTTTACAATTCAGCTGATGCTTAGCTTTGCTTTATGTAACTTCCCGATTGTCAGACATCTAAGGAATTTTTTTTTCCTAGCTGTGTTGATCCAAATGTGGCAAAGGAAGAAACAGAAATATCCACCAGTCCTCAAGTAGCAATTTTTCTAGCATCAAACTCATTAAAACCCTTCATAACAGCCATATTTCCACTCTTATGAGGAAATGTAGCTTGCAAGCACAGCTATCTGATCAGGATTTGGATTCCATGTGAGGGTGTTGCAGGAATTTAATAAGCAACAAAACTGTAACAAAACTGTGAACACTGATTTTGCTGCTTATTTATAATAGCCTCCATGAATGGCCTTTCGTGGCCATCCACCACATCCACAAAGTGCGTCTGCGCTGCATGGGTGCTCAATCAAGTCCTGGATGCACAGTCAGCATAGCCCACCTGGAGCTTTGTAGAAGTAACAGCGAGTCACGGCCACCTGCTGCATTACACTAAGTCACCACTGTGGCTTGTCTGTCTGGTATTTCAGTATCAGCTTTCAGCAATGCCAGGGGGAGTTGTTTCATTGATTTCAGTAAGCATGGATCAAGCAGAAATAAGAAAAAGGAGGGGGCAAGGGAATGAGATCGTCTGTCATTTTTTTCCTTCTCACTGATGTGTGACATTTCCATCTTCAGTTTTGATTTAATTTCCCTTAATTAGCCCATTAAGCTAAAACCACCAAAGCTAATGATTGAAGTGTTGGTTAACTGATGATCTTGTTTCAATGGAATTTGAAAGACATCATATTTCTAAATTAATAGTGGCATTAAATTGGAGAAGAGAAAAAGATGAACTATTTGTTGCAGTAATGCTGATCTCAAGGGAAGGCTTGTACTGAATCTGCATTCATGTTAGAAAATTAAAGAAAAACCATAGATTAGTAGGCAACCACAGCAACACTGGTGGTCCTGACAGTGTTTGACGTTTGCACAGTTTTTCTATTTTGGGAGCTCTTCTATCTTTTTCATCACTGGTGAACTTCAGGAAATCTCTTATGTGTTCTGGACTCAGTGTTTCTGCAGTGCAGATTGGCAAGGCTGTCTCTTAAAAAAGAATTAAAAGCAACCTATTACATTTTTTCTTGGGCATGTTAGATGACATTCCACTTCATGACAGAATTACTCTTTTGTATCATGCGTTCGTGCCTTTAGGAACTGGACATTTGGTAATCTTTGTAAGAACAACCATTCATTGTCTGGATAGACAAGATTAAGACGTGTTTCACATACAGTTCAGTCATTTCTACTTCTGGAATGCTAACTTACATGAGAAGGAAAATCAGAGCACACTTTTCCAACAGCTCAATCAAAACACAAGGGCATATGGTCCCCAAAGTACAAATACTTATGAACAGAAATGCATCACTTGGGTGTTGTTTTGTGAGGTTAATTCACTGGTGAAGGAGAGGCAGATTTTAAAACTGCTGGAGGCAACAAGTCCAATATGCAAACATTGATAGCCACCAAAACAATGAGAGAAAATGTTTTAGATGAGTAACTGTAAGGGATATAAGGGATGAGATTCTGTGTAAGAAAATTCTTGCTGGTTATTAGATTCTTGCAGTCGTGCAGGAAACAGGATTTGTATAATTTTTTTAAATAAACAGGAATGCTACTAAGAAAAACCTTTTTTGTTCATCTGTTTGTCATCTAAACTGCAACACCTGCAAGAATTCATAATGGCTAAAGGGTTATATCCAAAAGATGGAATAGGAGCCATCAACAAGTTGTCTACATTAAAGAGACCCATATATGGCTTCAAGTTCTCCTGGTGTAAAACATTAAGATACAAAAATGAATGTATTTTAAAGAACATCTCTTTTTCTCTTGCAGCTTGCATCATGAAGCTTGCTGTCTTCATGTTTTTCTAAGTATTGATACAACTTCTTGGCTTTGTATCTGACTTCCGTGTCATTGTCAGTTGCTTTTATAAATTGATTTCTGGTCTCAAGCACAGTGTTATGACTTAATGTTGCAAACGTATATCTGGAGAACGTCGTTTCATAGAATGCCTTGAGTTGGAATGGACCTTAAAGTCTATTCAGTTCCAACCCCCTGCCACGGGCAGGGTTGCTAACCACGAAGTCAAACCACATCCAACCTGGCCTTGTACGCTTCCAACTAACATGAACTTCTTAAGCTAAAAAAAATACAAATAAATAAAAATGCCATGGTCTGTATACTATCAGGTTTGCAATATTTGGTTGCGGATTTTTTTTCTTTTTTTTTTTTTTTTTTTGTCTACCAGTTGACTTGTAATATCCATGAGGATGAGTTTACAGCAGTCTTCTTTTTTTTTGGTAACGTAGAAATGGCAAAAGCCTATTTACTGCAAAATCCAGATGAGAATGAGGGTGATTTAAGGTGCAGCTTCTACTGGGGAAGGGGATGGTGAGATTTGCTGTTCCTATGGACTAGACAGTGTCAGCTCCCGGGATTGTTTGATATCTTTTGTTTCCCTGAAGGTGGGTCAAAACCAAACACATAAACTGATTTCAGCCTTTGACTGCTAGATTCTTTTAAAAACTCTTAAATGACTTCAGGAGTCCTAGCTTACTTACTTTTCTTAACACTTCAGGGTATGAATCGCTTATGAGAATAAAATCAGAATAAAATCAGTTTAATGGTGTGGAATTTCAACTTAAATCCTGAATCCTTAAATCCTGAAAGAAAGCCTTTTTCTTCCATTCTAAAACTGCTTTAATTTTGAATAGCTCTGTTTCATCCCCCTACCAGAGAGATTTTTAATCCCTGTTCTTCCAATCTCTGCAGGTTTTGGTTTCAGATCATTGCTTCATGGGAAAGAGGATCCAATGCCGTTATTGCTTTTGACAATGTCTCCCTTAGTCTGGACTGTTTTTTAACAAGTAAGTTTTCCTTCTGTCTGCAAGTGGTGGTTTGTCTTCTATTTGCCTTGCAGCTGAAATTTGGAGAGGGATGGAAATTGTGGGGAAGGGATTGTGTGTTGCTGCCTTCAACAGACTCTTGGAAAGAAGTATGTGTCTGAAATATTTGTGCTCAGATAAAGGAGACCATTCAGGCACATATCTTATTAGTGGAACTGACTGGTGAATTGGTTCCAGGTTTGGCAGTAAATGGATGGCAAGACATATGGTGTCAGAGAGCCAGCTGCAGCTAGAATAGTAGCATCACCTATCCAGGCAAACTGATGCAGAAACCAGTCTGTAATTATGGAGTTTGACATGACCTGGTTTGTTGTGTGACAGCTTTCAAAATGAATGACAGTTGGACTCTGTCTCAGAAAAGACAGTGTCAATCACAGACTTTGCAATAACATTCAGCTCAATGAATTAGTTAAATTAGAACAATTTTTTTTTGTTGTGTTTTGTTGTCGTTGTTTGGTTTTCTTTGATTTGGACTGATTGCATTTAAGTCTGAATCAAAAACTAAAATCCCCATTCTCATACCCTTGGGAAAAGTTTGGATTTAGATTGAGACTTTGTGATTGATCAGCCTCTAAAATAGGTTCAGCCTATACCTCTGCTGCCAGATTCACCCCATTTAGATTTTTATTGAGCAGTTGTGTCTAGCTTATGCATACTGAGATGCTTAAATTATAAATGTGTTTAATTATCTGACACACCATTCTTTGAAACAAAAACTGGCATGAGGATTGCTGCTCATAACACATGAAACTTCTGACTTGAGTTGAACAGTACAACTTGACTACTTGTTCATCTCCTGGGCTTGAAGCTACAACTGTCATTTTCAGTGGGTTGAAAATCTCTAAGCCACTTCCTCATCCAACAGCAGCCACAGTTTCTTTTGCTTCGTGTTAGTTTACACTGTCTGGGTCTGTGTGTATTTCCTTTTATGCAATTGTGCATAGAAACAATGCACCTCAGGTTCTGACATTGTAAAGAGATCTTAAAGTTAGGCTGTAATTGAGAAAGATTGTACACATTTTAACTGGTTAAAAGAAAAACTTTCTAACAGCTGCTAAAGATTGTTTTGTACTTCTGCATTGTGTCTTCATTCACTTGTTTTGCCCACCACCCATTCCTATTTATTTTTAATTTGTCACAGTTTCCATAACAGCAATTGAAAGTCAGTCTGCCCATTCCTTTTAATGCTGGTGTGTCCTGTGACTACAGGCTCTAATTCTCAACAGAAAAGGCTCCAGCCCTTAATTTAACTTGAGCTCTGGATTACACGCTGACTCAGCACAGTGATGAATCAGTCTGTGACTTCTTGTTTTCTAGTCAATGGAGAGAAGATACCTCGAAGTACTACTCCAGACTCAAGCAATTTGCTCACCAGTAGAAGAGGCCCGAATAATTTTGGATGGGAACAAAAACTTCTGGGAAATCTCCAACTCGGCACCGCCCCCATTTCTGGTCCAGCAGGTAATGGTCTGAACAGAGAATTATTTTCAGACAGCAGATTTCCAACAAGTGCAGGTTTTAGTCAAATGGAGCTAAAGGCAATATGACTTCCCCTTCCCCTCCTTTCCTGCCCCCTCCCTTCCCCTCCCTAAGGCTTTCTTCAGAACTTTTCCTAAGTTTGTTCTAAACAAACAAAAAACCTAACTCTATACAAAGCAATTACCTTTAGCTGTTAAAACTGTAACTGTAATTTTGATTGCAAATTTGTGAGGAAAAAAAAAAAAAAAGAATTGCAAGATTTATTTGATCTCATGATTTTAAAATAGGAAGGAATCAAAGCAAATTAACTGAGTCCAGAATGTGGTAACTTGAACACTCATCTCTAATTAATATAGGCTTGATTTGAAATATCGTAACTACTCCTCTTTTTCTGTAATGTCTTCATTCCCCATTTGAAAAAGTATAGCAAGGGACTTGATCTTAGAAACATCATTTTCAGCTAGTCAGAAATGACAGTCCTGTATACCTGGTTCTCTCCTGTTCCATGGTTCCCCTTTCCAGCTTAGCTGTAATGGCATGGTACAAATTGTTACAGGATTTCCCTTCTTTTCTCATCACATCACTGTGTCCCAAGGATTTGCCTCTTCCCTCTCTCATGCTTGCCCACACATTTTCAATATCTGTGCTGTATGCATGCATTTATATTTCAGTCTATTCCTTTTACCTCTTCCTTGCCAGTTTTTCTTACTGATTCAATTCAGGTGGTCACAACCAACCTGGAGGTGCACCACAGACCTACCTGGAGAAGGGGGGCTAACCATGGAAATACAGGAAAGAAGCATTGGCTACAAGTGCCACCTTTAGCACTGAGTGCAGCTGTTCCTCCTCACACGGTGCTAAAGTTGACAATTACCTGACAATTTGAAATACCACTCTGCTTAATTTAGAGGAGTATGGTTGGTACATGCCTACTTTATGTACAGGAGTTTGTTCATGCTGTCTCCTTCTCTCCCATTCCTTTATTTTAAAAAGACTACTTTAAAATCTGTTCTATTCTACGTTATGTTTCACTTTGCTACCTGCAGTGTACTGTTGAAATACATTCGCTAGTGTTAAGTCAGTTCTGATACCAACAGCAGTCTAGCCAGTGTGATCAAAAGCTCCATACAGTCTTGCAAGCCTGATTGAAAAGCTGGACATATTAGCCCCAACAGAGCAGCTGCTGGTACATGAACCAGCAAGTTCTGGTAAAGTGACCTCCAACAGTGGAAAATCTCTGCAGTGTCTGCCAAGGGTTGCACCAAGTGGAGTTTATTGATATTTTCTGTACTGTGTCATACAGCAAGAAAAATGCAGGAGCAAAGGATTAGGTAGGGAGAATGAGCCTTTTTGAGAGGGTACTGGGCTGAGTGGACCTGTGTATTATGGTTCTTTCATGTTTTCCTAAATGATCTGGACTTACATGCTTGCCTGCATAAGTTTGCAAACAATAGTAAGCTAGGAGCTGTTCAGGATAGAGGGGCCTTGCAGAGGAAGCTTGCTGGTCAGTCACCACACACAGGAAGTTTAACAAGAACAAATGACAGGTTCTGCACCTCTGGGACAAGGTGGTCTCTATAGTACCGAATCACCCATCACCGTGTTCCCTGCTCCCTGCTCTCAGTAAACAGTGCAGATGCTTGTTTAGTCCCTGGGCTATGCATTTTACCCTGGTTTAATCTTATTACTTTCTGCATCCTGTAATGCATTTAAGAAACCTCAGGCAGAGTCTGCCAAGGCCATTGCTTTCATGGCCTCATATTTACTATTGTGTGAGTGAAACAACAGCATCATCACCACCCTGAAGTCCTGAAGACTGCATTGACCAATATAAGCTCAGCCAGAAGTAATTACAGCTAATGTGATCCTTGGCTCATATGATGCTTCACTGGCTGTAATACTTCCTTCTTAAGAAATCATATTGAAACTAAGAAAAAAACTCTGTTTCTGTAGCTAAGGAGACAACAGAATAATAAAATGCCTTCCTCAAGTCTATGAGCCAGCTCAGCCTACGCAGCTAGGAGTAGTCTGAAAGACAGGCACCGCTTCGGTTACCTGACCAAATATCCAAAAGAAGTCCATTGCTTTTAAGGGTAAGGGGCTGGATTTGCTCCTTTGTAATTGAGAACAACCTCTTACAGACATTGACTGTGCTAGAATATCCAATTTCGGCAGAAGAAATAAATTGTCGTCACTGCCAATGTCACTGCCCTCCCTTTATTCTCAGGCCCTGTACTGAGTGAATTACTTCAGCCCTGCCATTGCTTGACGTGGCTTGGCATGTCTCTGTGATCCATACACAGGAAGCCAGCAAAAGGCTTGAAGTATATAACACAGCCACACCATAAAGTATCTTGAAGCTTCTAGAGATCTATTAACCACTGTCATTTACAAAGGACTGGCTAGTGTGCTGTGTGGAGAATAAGACCCCAAACTGCTACAATAGTGATGTAATTCTCTCAAGTTTCTGGATGATGACCAGGGCTGACACACAAAAAATCCATGTAGATCTGAATTTGCCCAGTCACTTGCAATGCAAGATAGACAGCCACAAGGCTATGCACAGGTTTTCCTGTTCAATTATTTAATTAATGTGTCATTTACTAGAATACCATTTTCTTGCAGGAAGATTGCAAGTGAAACTCGGTTCTGGAAGAAGCCTGCCAAAAAGTTGTAAGAAAGGCTGTTTATACCAGAGTATTGAAGCAACCACATTTGTAACTAGAACTTTTGACTGAAGTTTCGGATGAAATCTGCACAGAGGTTGTGCAGATGTAAAGCATGCTTACTTCAGCTTAGTTTTTAAATTTCTTCGCTATTAGTTTAAGTAAAACTGACAACTGCTCAAACCACAGCAGCTCTCTACAGGGAGTTGAACAACCAATTAAAAAGCCAATTTAAATCAAACCAATGCAATTTCCCTTTATAGACAAGACGAGAGTATGGAAAATTCAGGCACAGAGAGATACAGAGAGCACTAATGAGGAATTCTAGGTAAACAAATGACTATCATGGATATGCAAGGGGAGAAAATAGGATTCTCAGTAGGCAGAAGGAGATAACAAGAAATGGAGTGCTCAAGCTTTAATTAAAGATTTCTGATGCTTCTGAGTAGGCCCTAAATGCCATGAGGATAGCCTCTCTTCTGATGTTTCAGTGTTTCATCAGCCTGCTGACAACTTACTTGTGTCAGGGTACATGGTACCAAAGTGGTGGGTTGTAAAATGAATGAAAAAATGTTCAGCTTTTTCCCCTCAAATCTTGTACTGTTTTGTGCCATCCGGTCTGCTATTGTGAGACCATGGTTTCCTGTATGGAAGCTGTCACCACGTAGTCTTCTGGACTGGATTGCCATTTTCTTCAGCTCCAGTTTCTTCCCCACACTCTTGGTGGTTGCAAAGACTTTGGGTTTTTTGCATCAGAGAGTGTCCTGTTGCAAGTACTTACATGGTTGTTTCTCGGAAGAACTCTGAGTCACATTAGTTAATCAGATGAAGGAGCTGAAAGGAACAGCAAAGCGAGTATTAAGTAGAAGAAAATTACATTTGGTTGCTTTTTGTGTGCAATTATACTAACTGAACTGTTGGTGTAATGCAATAAAGGTATCTGCAGAATTGTATTTTTGTATTAAGCATCAATTAACACAGTGAACAAATGGCTTAGTACTCTCCTCCTCAGCAAAAGAAGCATTCTGAAAGTGATAGAAAACGTTCAGAGATGGATGGGTAGTGGGATCTCAGATGATGTAGGCATGAATTTCTTTATTGCAGTGTTTGCACTTGCTTTCTCTAGAGGATTAAAAATGGCAAAGGTACAGTACTGAGAAGCAACACAGCAAAGTTAAATTGGAATTCCTGCTCTCTAGAGTTAAACAAACCATTGGAATAAACAGATTTTAGGCTTAAAATTTAAATCTGCCTTTACTCTTTAAAAACAACAGTTTAAACTGTGCAGAAACTGCTATAAATCTGAGGAAAGGTTTTGAAATAATTTTGCTGCCTCCTCCTGACCTGGTCTCTGTTATCCAACTTGTGTTTCTATTACCCTTTGCAATTCTAAATGAGAAAAAAAAATCCAAAAAGTTATTAGTATCTCCCACTAAGCAGCCTTTATGGAAATTAGTTTTCTTCATGCTGCTTTGTTAGTTACTGCTTCCTGAATGTAGCAAGAAACAAACCGTTCTCATCATTGTTCAAAGCCAGCTCCTTGCCCTGTTATACTGACCACAGAAAATTTCCTCAAAGGATGCCCTGATGGTGTTTCCTTTATCTAGATGGACATATAAGAAAATTCTAAAACAAGAAAGAAGTTATGTATATTTATATGAAATGGCACTGAGGTGTGATCTGATATACATTCGTAATTGCAGCAGCTCTTGTTGAGCTGAAAAATATGTCCAAGTCTTCCATTGCCTTCATCAATGGCAGCCAAATGTCACCAGTCTCCTGTTACAATCACAGAACGGCCTGGGTTGAAAAGGACCACAATGATCACGTAGTTTCAACCCCCTGCTGTGTGCAGGGTCGCCAACCACCAGACCAGACTGCACAGAGCCACATCCAGCCTGGCCTTGAGTCAGCTTCTGACTTCCTTTATGGGTCAGATGTTTCAAAGGAGTTTGTGAATGCTTTTACAAACAGATGAAGGAAGTGTTCTGCTTGTCCATGGCATTGTGTTCATTCACAGCTGCCTTAGTGAAATGAAGTCCCTGAGGGACAATTAACAGAATTAATTGCTTCCATAATTTTAGCCACTGGGGTTTTTGTGCTCCCAAAATGGTAGGCTTTATAACCCTTATTCACTCTTTTTTTTATTTTTATTAATTTAGTGGAAGTGAGATAGCCTCTTGCCTGAATAGAGGTCGTGGCAATGTGTCCCTAATAGTGCCCACACATAGTTATATTGCACTGATGCATTTTGCCACTGCTTTACTTTAGATTCCAAAAGATGCCCAGCACCATGGTGCATAGTTTGTGACTTCCTCAAATCACAGGAAAGCTTTGGTTTGGAACAAGTTGAACCTTGGTTCAAACCAGCTTAATTTAACAAATGCCATTTAATACATTTAGATCCTTGAGGTATAGCTAAAATGCCAGCAGCTGTTTTGTGATGTGGGGTTCATATGCAGTATATGACAGTCAAATTGCTTTCTATGTTAGCAGTACAAATGCGCTTTAGGCTTTGTGCCTCTGTTTTCTTTTCTTTGCTGTTTGTTGTTATTTGCAGCAGCGCTGCCTTGGGCTGTGAGTTGTATCAGAGCCTCAAAATAATTAATCATTTCAAGTCTTGTGGGCTTTTGTTCTTTTTCCTTTGCTTGAACCAGGCATCCATCCCCTTTGCTGCAGCTGAAATCCAGCACTGTTAATTGCTGTGCATCTTATGTACCCAGCCAAGCAGTGCAGAAATGAGAATTTTTGCTCTAAAGAAGAAAATAATTGTCAACATATGTAAATATATCAGTAAATCTAATTGGGAAGAAAAGTTGGGAAGAAGGATTTTTTTTTTTTTAGTCTATTTTAATAGGGGTAAATGGCATTTCTTGCACAATATTTTTTTTCTGGGTACTTAGCAGTGTGTTGGGAAGCATCCCAGGCAGCTTGAGGAGGGCAGGTGTGTGGGTGAGCAGGCAGCAGACCAAATAGTTCTTTGCCAAATTTCCCATGAAAGTGGGCATTCTATCAATATATAAATTATTCACTGAAATGTAATTCCTGAATTCTGAATCTCAATTCATTTATTTTTTCCCCCTACACTAAGCAGGCATTTCCAGTTCTTAAATCCAGT